ATGTTATTTTTAATTATCCATATATTAATAATTATATGTTTCTAAATCTGCCATTTAACGTTAAAAAATTCTTCATTCAATTACGACTTAATCAAAAAGGTCTAAATATTGAAAATAAAGCTATAGATTGTGATCAATCTGGATGCTCTAAATGTGGTAAAAAAAATTGTTAAAATTTCATTTAATTTATAGATGTAACGAGAAAAACAAACAAAATGTAAACACTGGTGAGAATTATGAATATAATCAAGAGATGGAAATTGTTATGTATAGTAAATTAGACAAAATGAATATCAATGACATTTACAATTTATATAATATGTTAAAAACAACATTTTTTAGTGATAAATATACTGTTAATTAGCCTTATTCAATCATTAAATTAAATAGACATTTAATGCTAAAATTTATCGAAAAGTTCATTTATGTAAAACTAAGAAATTTTTAAAATACCCCCTTGTAACAGGCTACTGCCTTTTTATGTTAATAAACATTTGATTTGATTTGATTTGATTAATTTTTAAATGGTTCAATCGAATAATGATTAAGGAGAATTAACGTTTAGAAAAACAATGAAAATTTGTACAGAAATTCTCAAATATATCTCACAAATAACGATTTACAGAAGAAAATCTGCAATGTACAATGATAAAGAATTGGATAAATTGATGAAAAAGGAGACTATCAACCGAAAGAATCCTCCAGAAAGTAAAGAAAATACAAAAGAAAAATTTCCGACAACGTGTTGCTTAACTTTCCTGGAAACATTTAAAACAGCGTGTGGCGCCATCTGTTACGATATTTTATTAAAACATTTTTAAAAATATTTTATAAAATGGCAAAAAGCTTAACTTCGAGGATAGGGATGGGTTTTATGGAAAATTGTAAATACTAATAACGAGTAAAATTATACCACTAGAAATACCACACACGATCGATTCCCCTTTATCTCCCACCCCGTCGACCTTTAATCACCGAAATTTAATAGCATGAACCCTCCTGCAAAATTTTCCCCTCCGGTCCATAAGCTTTCCATATCCAGTCTCGGTTTTCAACCCAATAAATAACATAAATTAAAACTGAAGTTTATTTTTGAAATTTAATTCATTATTCATCAGAGAGACTAATAAAATATTTGAAACGAATCTGTATATATAAATATATATAATACTATTTTCGGTTTACTTAATAATTAAACTCTAACTTTAACTCCAGACAATAGAAACAAATAAATCTGTATTTAAATCTATTATTTTTCGTAGTAGAGTTAAATCTTCTCCGGAGGTAATAACGATCATTTAAGTATTATTAATTGACTGGTTGGAATCGTGACGTAACTCTATCTCGTCCCTATTTCCTTTGTTGCGGGCAATTCCAGTGTTACCTAATTAACGCTCCGCTAGTTGCAATTTCTAGACGTTCTTGACGACAAACATATGGATCAATTATGAATTCGACAATAAATATTTTCTAATCATTTGTTTATCTGCAGTCAAAATGATGCGATTAATTTTTAAAACGTGATAAACCCTTCATTCGAGTTATTTTGTAAAATCAATATTCAAATTTATTATTTACTGTAAAAGAGAGAAAGTATGGCGAGGTAAAAAAATGATCCTCCCTTTCTGGACTGGGAACTTTCAAACGTGGAGAGAGGAAAGAATTGGGTACTTTGTGTTTGGTTGTGAGTGTATGAGTTTTAGTGAGTGTGAATCGGTGCGTGAGTAAATGAGTTTTAGTGAGTGTGAATCGGTGCCCGAGTGAATGAATGAATGAGTGTGAATGAGTGAATGAGTGTGAATGAGTGAATGTGGGCGTGAATGAATGTGAGTATAAGTGAGTGTGAATGAGTGTGAGTGAGTAAATTAATGTGAGTGTGAATGAATGAATGAATGAATGTGAATGAATGTGAGTGAATGAGTGAGAGAATGTGAGTGTGAATGAGTGAGGGAATGTGAGTGTGAATGAGTGAGAGAATGTGAGAGTGAATAAGTAAATGTAAGTGAGAGTAAGAATGTGTGTGAGTATATGGAGGCAAGACAAGCGTCAAAATGGGTGAACACTCATGTTACTTAGTGGGGGTTTCTGAAAGTTTGTGTTCTTGTCGAAACTTTCTAAAATTTTGCAGGGAAGTTTGTGTATTTTGCAGGGAGGGGCAATGATGCTATTAAATTTCGGTGGTTGAAGGTCGAGGGTTGGGAAGATAGAGTGTCACAAGCAGCGGAGTGGCGTGGGTGTCAGCCGCCCGGGGCGGAAGAAAATTTCGCCGTCCCGTTTTTTTAGTTATCTTAATTTAAAAGACTAAAATTCAGTTTCGTAACAGAAGAACAAGTAATGAAAATTTCCTTGCCAGCGTAGCAACCTGTTCAAAATAGCTCCATTGAACATTGGAGGTGTATATGAGAACAAGTAAATCGTACTAGCAAAAACAGAAAAAAAAGGTCGACAGGCTGTACGCACGGGTGAAATTACCAGTTCACCCGGACGGTGAGTCTATTCCCGGACTATTCCGTGCTCATTTCAATCGGTCCGAATCGTAGGTGCGACAATGGTTCAAATTTTTACAAGATATTATTATTATTTATTGTGAAATTTTGCCGCCCCCTAAAAAGTGCCACCCGGGGCGGGCCGCCCCTGCCGCCCCCACTACGCTACGACACTGGTCACAAGTCATATCTCGAGTGAGTTGGACTTGATGAAGATTTTACTCGTTATTAGCATTTACAAATTTTTTATAAAACTCATCTCTACTCTCAAACTTAAACACTTTGTCATTTCTATAATAATTAGTAATATAATAATAATTTAAAAAAAATAAAATCTCGTAAGAAATGGCGTCACACACAATTTTAACTTATTCGCGGGGGAAAGTTACGCAATTCGTGAATGGAATTTTTCTACTATTTAGTTAATAAATCAAACTTTAGATATAGTATAAGCATAAGTTTATTATTATTTTTAAACTAAAATTAACTCCTTTCATTCCATTAATGAAGGACGGACAGACAGACGAACGATACCGGGAATATACATATACATATAAGTGTAAACTTTGAAAATTGCAGCCCAAAAAATGCATAAATTAACGAGAAAAATAAAAATTTGGTAATGGAAAATATTAAGATAATTTGAACACAAGTACAGTATTTAACATTACTTTGATTTATTTATTGTTTAATCAACCTATATAAATTATAAATTAATATAGTTATTTTAATTAAAAACAAGATTTATATGACATTAGCAAATACTAAAAATGAAATTTATATTTAAGCATTTTTAAAGATTAATTTTTAAAAACTTTAATTACTTATTTATGCTGTTCTAAATAGCAGTAAGTCAATATCAATTATTATATACTTACATCTACTTAAAAAAAACTGCTAAGATGCATTAAAAATAACTGCATAAAAGGGGTTATTTTTAACTCCTAAATCGAATTTTTCTTCTATTAAGTGCATTCTGATAGATGTATTTTAAAATATGATAAGTAACAATATATTAAATGAAAATACTGAGTGCTTAAAAGCTTTAAAATATAATTATATAAGAGCAGAGCTATTATTAAATAATATATATATATATTAATTAAAGAAAATAACGTAATTTGTTCGAATGGGACGTCACACACGGATTTATGTTACTAGCAATATCATGAATAACATTAGATAAACTAACAGTGTCTGTTAGTGACAAAGACTTTCTTTTCCTCTCTCCTAACGGATAATATTTATTATTTATTCACTGTAGGAATAATTATATAATATTATGATATTTTGTATCTAATTTAATTACAAATATTTTAATAATAGAAATAAATAAAAAAACTGCATTGATATTTTTATTATAAGATCTAATTTCATCCAATTTTTGTTGAGAAAAGATGAAGCGAAATTAATTAATTATTTAAGAAAATGTATATCAGATGAAAATTCGATTATTTTTATCCCATTATTCTTGATATAATTCTAATGATTTTTTTATATTATAGGAAAGATAAATTCGGTGGATTTTGGGAACGGCAAATATTAATGAAAAGCAATTTATTTTCAAAGAAATTTTATCCTTTAAAATATGAACCTTTCATAATGTCATTAAATTTAACCACGCAATCTTTTTATTTATTCTTTTTTTTAAAAAATATATATATACAGTAAAACCAGTCCAAAACGGAAACCTGCCTAAACGGGAAAAATTCTCGAAAACAGCGATTTTCTACGTTTAAAATAAACCTGTTCAAAACGGAAGAAATTTCCGGTACCGTGCGATTCCGTTTTAAACAGGTTTTGCTGTATTTTAATTATTTTTAAATTTCAATAAAACTGATTAAATTTTTAAAAAGTTATGCATATAAACTGATATTTTACCTTCTTATTTAGTTATTCATCTATTCAAATGAAAACTGATTTACAGAATTCATTTTCTTTGGACAGAATAGTATTTTGAAAATCCATTAAAATGCATTACATTAGTAAAATTGAAGGGGAAGAAAAAAAAATAAAAGAAAAGAAATAATGAAATTGCCAACCCTTTCTCTAATGTTAAATAGTTATATTATACAGTAAAACCTGTCCGAAACGGAAACCTGCTAAAGCGGAAACTTGCTAAAGCGGAAGAAAAATATACGGTACCGTGCGATACCGGTTTACTCAGGTTTTACTATATACCAATTTATAATGATAAAAAGCTACTAATAAAATAAAAACCTGCGTAAACCGAATATTTTCCGTTTTAGACAGGTTGTTTTGAAAACAGAAAATTCTCAAGAATTCTTCCCTTTTATACAGGTACCCGTTTTGGGCAGGTTTTACTGTATTTAGACCCTTTTATATTTTATCTTGTTTATCTTTCCATTACTTTATCGCACGAGATTCCACTTTATCTATACTAACCGATCAATAGAAAATAAATACATATATATGTATATATATTAAAAAAACCGGATATATTTTTAGATATCAAACAGTTGAAAAATGTTATAAAATCAATTGAAAACATACATCAAACATTTGTTCCTGGACGTTGTATCTGGCGTGCCTTCTTCCTAAATCGTATAAAATTCCAGCCAACACTCGACTATCATCCAAATTATCTATGGCCGCTTCTAAAGCTTGCATAACCAGTAGAGCATGGCGTTGAAGTTCTTCTAAATCCCAGTCGTACGTTCCGTCATCCTTCAGGGTCATGAACTTCCGAAACATTTTACATAATTCCGGATGCCTAGTAAGAAATCTGTAAACAAGAAAAAACAAAAAAACAGTAAAAGATATAGCGGTGCGACATGTATAATAAAAGAAGAACGGCATGCATGTATATATTTTTAGCAGCATCAAAACAACTTAAACCGACGTATAAAAAAAAATCATCTCCCTCCATCGAGTGCGGCTTGTGGCTTCGTGAGGCCCTGGCAGACTCGAATTAGGGGGCCTCCGCGTGTAATATGCGAACGTTTTTTTTCTTCGGGAGAATTCCTTTGCGCCACAACGATGGAGGGAGTCCCTATAGATAAAGCCCAGATTTTTTTAAGTGTCATTCGAAATTAGTAATGACATCTGTGGGCGTCGAATTCAATTATTGAATTTACCTTTGAAACACGATGGTTCCAACGCCGACCATGTCCTGCGAAACTATGGACCAAGTCGATCTTACTAATTGTATTTGTTGCGGTGTTAAATTTTTAGATAATTGTGGCTCGATATTGCCCTTTAAAACACTTTGCCTACCAACGCTGCAACCCATTCTATTTAAAAAAATAAATAAATAATAGAGAATTATTCATCTATTCTAATATGTAAATTTTACCGAGATTAAAAATTATTTTATACATAATTTTTTTATATAAAAGCAAGCTTATTTTATCACCCGGAAATATACACTCCAAGTAATGATTTAATAATAAATTTGTTCCGCACTTGTCACCTTTCCATTGTTTCTTTTATTGTTAACGATGGAATATATTATTGTTTTTAATGCTTCTTTAAAAAAAAAAAACAAAAATTTAAAAATACGCACTCCGACAAGGTTAAATCTCAGGAAAATCTTCTGTACAATTTTTTAAAATTAATTACACTGTACATAAAAATATATGTGTAATTAATTTAAACAACAGTCGCAAATTTTAAGTAATTTTACAATTTCTTATAACAGTAAATAATTCCAGAATGTAATTTCCTTTTTTTTTAAATAATAAAAGGTATAATTAATGTACTCGAGTGTATGAAAGTTGTATATAAGATGTAGCCATTGTTTAATTACTTTACACAGAAATGGCTATTGATGAATATATTTAAAGCACGTAAAGGAGAAAGTATCTCTACTTCATCATCACTAATTAATAAATTCAATAGGGGGATGATGATAACTATGCAACGAAGCATTTACGCGAAGAAAATCGAATTGAAAACGGCAAGTTTATGTAAGTTAAAAGAGTTAATAAGTCATTTCTTTAATAAATAAAACTAGTTTTATATTATATATATTTAGAAAATGATGTTGAAACGTCACCTGTCACAACAGCAGTCGTTCTTCCAACGTGACATCCATAGGAAACAGCATCCGTATCTCGACAGCATCCATCTCTATCAACGGATCTAGCATAAATGAAAGAGCGGAAGAAGGATGAAAACGAGACTGATAAAATCCGTGACGAACTTCCTCTCTAGTCACATTTCTACGATTAAATATTAATTAAATATATTTTTTTAAATTAGTGAAAAGAAAAATCATCAGTAAACTAATATATGAGCGGGTGTATAGAAAAGGTATGTAAATTAGATAAATTTCCTTAATTACTTTTCTTAAAAGTTTATATTATATTTTTTTAATGATTTTTGAGTGTAAATATCTCTCTTAATATATAATTTCATCCTTTAATTTTAAGGAGAATCGATAAGAATAAATTGAATAAATTCGTCATCTTAGATTTACACAAATCTGATTTTTTTCTATTATAAGAGAAATGACAGGAAATTAATTTGATCAATAAAAATATCTTCAATGTTTTCATATTAATAAACATGCCTTGTTTAATATATAAAAGTGAGAAGAATATATTTTTGTTGATAAAATCATTTTCTTCTATATATTTTTTTGATATAAGAAGTATATAGGCTACATACTGTACTGTACATAAAAATAATTATTTTTTCCTTTCTAGAACTTGTACAAACATCAATTTTCTTTCTTCTTTTGATCAAGAGAATCGACAAACCGTTTGATTTTTCTCATATTCGAGATAATTCTTTATGTCTTCGATACTCTGAAGTCCTTTATACAATATTACAATTATTTTTACAGTTGATTTCTTAAAGAATACATTAAAAAACTCTATTTTAGAAAAGTAAAATTATGTTTAAATGCACGACAAGCTAAAATTAGTCGTTTAAGAAAAAAAAAAAAAGAGGTTGGGAAACACTAGATTAAACAAATATAAAAACTAATAGAGTAAATGAATGTGAAACTATTGTATTCATAAAAAAATAAACGAATAAGTTGGAATTGGTTTATTGTAGAGCAGGAAATGAAAATCTTTCAATAGATGATCCATATATTCAGCCTGAAGCTAAAACTGAACAGAACATTCTGTTTGCTTTGTTGCATTTGTCTAACTCTTTTTTTTAGTCGTGTAAATCCTAAGGTTTCTCTAACTGGCTGATAAATAATGGATAAGTCTTTTATATAAAACATAAAAGTCAAATTAATAAAAACCATTTCTCTCACTCCGGAAAGGTTATTTTGGAAAAATCGATTTTTTTCCTCCCCTCGTTATTAGTTTATCGAGTTATTAAGTAATTTAATGAAAAATTTTAAAACATTTAGTAATTTATAATAATATTTTAATTGATTATTTATTAATTTAAAACGAGAAAAATCTTTAACAGTTATCGTTTTTCCTCTATCACTCGTTATGTACGTATCTAAGTAATTACAGTATATTATTAATAAAAGCATATCCTCGACGTTTAATAATCTAACTACACGTTGTAAACATGTATTAGATGATTGTTTGAAAATCTTTTCTCATAACGTATTCAATAATGTAAATGGGTCGTGCCTCCAGAGAGAAAAATCATCATTGATGATGATTTTTCTCTCTGGAGGCACTGAAACTGCTCGTTAAAATCATCAAAGATGATTTTAACGAGCAGTTTCATATTGGGACATTTACAACTGGGATTTCAGGAATGATAACTGAAGCCAATTTGATTTTTATTATGATTTAAGTATAGTTTTCCTATATATATATAGAGGGAAACTACTTAAATCGAATGTATTTTTATATTATATATATTTATAATAGTAATAATAAAATTAAAGTGTTGATTCTCTATAATAATAATAATAACATTAATAAACATTTAAATTGCAACATTATTATTATTATAAATATATAATATAAAATACCTTATAACTACTTCAATATAAAGTATACTTCGATTATATTTATTTTTAGTTTTTAATCTTAAAATATATATTATTTGTATAGGATATTTGAAATGAAAACATGTGTATCGATGTTACAAAAATAAAAAGTTTTTTTTTTATATTTAATGTTTTATTTGAAAAATATTTCAGAAGTAAAATTGAACTAGTGGGAAGATATTTACTATCATTTCCTTTATTTTATGTTCTTCAAAGCTTAAAAAAAAAAAAATAATATATAGCCAGAAGCTGAACTTCTAAATATGTTAGACATTTTTTTCCCTTCTCATTCACTACTTTTTAAATTTATAAAATAATGGCTTTCATAAGTAAATATATACAAAAGGAAAGATTTCATTTATAATTATTTTTATGTTTAATTATAATTATAAATATTTTTTTAAATGTATATTTATGAACATTTACACCCTTAATAGTAATGATGGAAATTTGTTACTCTTAACAGCAGTAACAAATTTCCAAATGTTTGTTGCTAATTAAGAAGAAATATTATTATTAAAATAATTAAATAAAATATTTTAATATTGAATATTAATCTTCTCTTACAGAAGTAGTCTATAATTTTATATATATACATAAAAAAAATAAATAAACAACACGAAATAATTGCAACAGCAAGACTTACTCTGAAGATTCTCTCATTAGGATACATCCAAAAAAAAAATTATTTTTTTTCTTTTCTTTATCTCTGACGATTGTTATTATCTTTAAAAAATAAATTATTTGATTTAAAAAATATATAAATTCCCTCCAGATCAATGAGTTAATTATTTATTCTCCTATATAATTAAAAAAAACACCTGTCTACTTCTTAAATATTTCAAAATTTTAAATTAAAATAGCTTAAAAGATAAAGAATTTCTCTTAATAAAACACCAAATTTAATTTGTTTTAATTATTAAACCGAAAAATTATAATAATTGAATAAAAAAAATATTCATTCTTAAGAATAAAAATGTATTCTAAGTCTATTTTATTGATTTTTTTTTATAATATTGATCGCTGTCTTTTGATAAGGTTTTAGCTCTGTTACTTATTTGACACGTATAGATTAATACTCACTTTGGTGAAGAAGAAATAAAATAAAAAAAAAAATTATTGATCAGTTTTGTTCAGTTTCAAGTAATTGTTTCAAATTTACCGACTTTTATTCAATATATAGTCTATAGAAAAAGTTCCGGTGGTTTGTATCGCGAAGAAAAGATTTTAAGTTAAGCCGCTCATAAAAAAGTATTCCTTTTTAATATAAATAGAAATAAAAATTATAAAACAAACTAACAAGTAGGCCCGGCATTGCTCGGGCAAAAGTAACGATAGGGAAGATTAACATTATTACGTTATAGTCAACCTTACCCGTTTTCACAGAATGCAAGAATTGGGTCCCCCTGTTTCCGGACTGATTAGAGAATTTTTAGATGGGTCTAAAAATATGTTCGATTTCCCGCAAAAACGAAAAATCTGCATCTGCGTCTTGCACGTCGCTTTCTCTTAACAATTCCATTGTTACGTAACACTTCCATTGTTACTTAACACTTCCATTGTTGATGGAAGTGTTAAGCCTTAATCCTGTCTCTCTCCCCCGTGGGGAGGAATTTCGAAAAATCCCTTCTTAGTGTTCATTTTCGTGACGTACCCTGTGTACCAAATTTCAACTTTCAACTCCTAACCGTTTGGGCTCTGCACTTATTATTATTATTATTATTATCATCATCAACCCGTCTCGATTATATATATAAATTATAAAAATATTATTTGTATTAATAAGTTTCAAATTTAAGATTAAAATCCCATCAGAACCTGTGATGGAACTTGCAAACTCTGATGGATTTCAGCAGAATTTCTGATGGAACTTGCAACTTGATGGGTGTACCTCGAAGAAAATTCATATAGAAGCTAGTGGCTTAAACGTAATTTTAAAAATAAAACGACAACCATTTTAGCGCGCTGGTTCTTCATGGCGGCGTTCGAGTTCTGCAAGCCTAAATAGAAGCACGCATACAGTAAATTTTATATATAGCGAAGAAGTTAAGAAAATACACTAAAAATACGAATTTTTATTAAAATTTACGATATTATTTACATTAAAATCTTTAATAAAGTGCCGAAAAGAAGCCTTGGTTCGAAATTCACTCTCTTAAAATAAACTTCAAAAGAAAGAAACAAGTTATTCGATACGAAAGAGTGAAGAATGGCATCATTTTCTTTATCTTTTATAATGCAGACTTATTCAAGAAGATAAGTAGCCTTATGAAGCTTATACTTAAAAGTCCTTTGATATTTTGAAGATTATCTTCGAGCGGCACAAACGTTATTCATATTAGATTTACGTTTTAAAAATATAAAAGTATTCATATTCAAAAATTAAAGAAAAATTATTTTAAAAATTAAATAAAATTTATTTTAATTTTTTCAATTTAAAAAAATAGCAAAATAAATAAATATATTTGAATAATATAATCGAAAATTCGTCGGCAATGTTTGAAGTGGCGCCCTCGCGCGGTCGAGATCGATAATAACGCCACTGTAAATGAATTTCCTCCTCCTCATCCTTTGAATGATCCAGGAAGAGAGAGAGAGAGGCTGAGAAAAAAATATATAAATAATTTTCTAGCATTTTTGCATGTATCTAAATTTTAAATTCCATTATTTAAAATATCGAATGCATTAAAAGAAAATTAAAAATTTAAATACACGAAGAACTTTGATATTACATAATCCGAAAGACTACTCAACTTGTTTAATTTTAGAGTATTATAAATGCTTCAAATGTACGATGTGTAGCATTAAATGGATCTTCTGCTTACCTATAAAAAGCTGTAGAGCTTTTATTAGGTGTCATTTGAATATTTTTTCGCTAAAAGCAGGAGAATAAAAATGATTATTATGTTTAAAATATATTAAACTGATGGACTTGATAAGTTAAACGTATTTTTATGATGTAAAATCAGTCGAAATTTTATTTAAAAAATGCATTTAAATAGAAGAAAAATTTATATTTAATATCATTTTTCGCCCTCCCCTGTATTTTTTAATACAGAGAGGAAGAAATTTAAGATTATTAGAGATGAAAATGGCGAATATGAGCTTACTTATAGACACAAATTTATTATTTTATTTGTTTAAATAAAATTTTTAAAAAATCCGAATATCATTAAATCTATATCTTTCGCTTCGGCTTCTGTAGATTTACTGTTATTACTTTTTAGAATGTTTCTTAAAAAATACTGAAAGAATACAATAGTTACTGAAGCAATTAGAATGCTACAGCAGCTATATTATTATAATTATCATAAATTCACATTACATTAAAGTAACAACAACATGATTTTAAAGCATAATTTACAGGTTCAAAAATCAGTTTACCATTTAATTATTCTTCGGTAATTACTCTATTTAATGAAATTAATCGACAGTGTTTACGGGATTTAGAAACAGTTGCCTATACAAAAACAAATTGATGTCCTTTAATAAGATTTTTCCAATTGTTAATGAAAGCAGGGCGTGGTTCATAATAAGAGTATTTAAATAACTGCAACAGGAAAACAGTGTTATGGATAATGATTTCGAGTGCCGTAGAATAATAATTTTTGAAAAAAACCCGCATTAAAAGTACACACATCAGGAAATTCATATACACATGCGTTTTATATTAATTTATTAATTTAAATAATATTTAAAAAATGTATGTCATCTATAAAGGAATTTAATGTTTGTAATTATGTATAAATGAGTCCATACTAGTTAAAAAATTCTTTTTAATTAATAAAAAAAAACAATTTTCGACATTTACATAAATGAATAGTCAATACATTTTCTATTTGTTAGTTTGAAAATTTAAATTAGCCAATAACATCGCAGACATTCGGAAACGGTTAATTTTAACAATACAGAGGCAAATAGAAAAAAAATAACAATAAATATTAATAACGAAAAGAATGGGAAGAGAGAGAGAGAGAGAGAGAGAGAGAGAGGAAAAAAAAATCAAATATTCGAATAATTTAAGAAAATAAATTCGTTCATTCATTCGTAGAAAGCAAATATGAAAAGCAAATCTTCGCAAGTCAAAAGTTGTTACCATAGTTACGAGCGATGACGTCACGATTATTTGGCCACCTTTCGGACGAAGCAGTCAGCTGATTCGGTCGCATTACAAAACATCAAACAGATGGATTAACGGAAGCGAATGAATTAAATGTAAAATACGTTCAAACTAAAGAAAAGGTAAGGTTTTCGATAAAATTTATCCCGATTTTAATTAGAAATATTTTAAAAAAACCAACAGATTTTCTTACACGTAGATTTTATTTTAAGGAAAGTTTTAATTAATAAAAAAATCGCTCAAATAAAATGCGGTATGTTTACACATTATTTACTTTTATTTATTATTAATTTTACCGAAAATACTGTCATTAAAATTAAATAAATTCTTGAAAATAATCTATATATAGCCTATATTTAATAAATTTTTTTACTACTTTATAATTATATATTTTCTTTTATAGATCTTATAATGTCGATATACATAAATTAATAAAATTAATTTAAATAAATAAATAAATAATAACAAAGATAATTTTTTAAACATTATTTATCATTAAAAAAAAAGTTAAAAGACCGATTTTATTTTATTTTATTTTTAAAAAATTCATCAATAGTCCTTGATTAACGAGGTTCCTATAGTAACCACTAGATGGCTTATATATTTTTGAAAACAAACGACTTTTTCCCCCTAACGTATTTAGTAATTAATAAGAAAGAAAATAAAAAATTAAATTTTTTGTAATTAAAATTTAATTAATTTTTTTAAAAATAATACATGTGACACACTTGACGATAATAATCCATTTATATCGGAAAATAAAACAATAAATCGCGTTGACTTCTTAATTACCATTTGTAATATTGACTTAAATAAGATTATTTTATAATCCTTTATCACTTATGATAATTAGCTATGAAAGCCATCGATTTAAACTTATTTATAACTCGAGAACCCATAGAAAACAATTACGCCAACTTAAGACATTGTTTACATTGTCTCGGAGCGCGCTTAATTATAATATTCAAACCTTTCAAACTTTATTAAATAAAAAACTGGAGCCATTAAAACTTTAGAAATTTCTTTACAACTTGTTATTGTTTTCTTTTTGTATTTTATAAAATAAAAACAAGATAACAAGTGAAAGGATATAAAAAAAAAAAAAACAGTAAACTTGGCATTCGATATCATCGATATATTGACTTTTTAAACAATTTTAACGCAAAAAAAAACTCAATTCTATTTAATGGGATGAATAATTTATAATATAAAGTAAAATATTACTCGATTATTTATGAATAAATAACGCATTTTTGTGATTTTTCAATGCGCTTTTTGTAATCGTTAAGCCATGCGATTATTCAGTTTAACTCATTTAAATCGATTGTAATTTATAATGTGATAGCGTGAATTTCCCATGGTTTATTTATTTTCTTCTTTTTATTTTTAGTTATTTAAGTTACATTAGCTGATGGTATAGTGTTAGAAATAAGATACATTAGCTAATAATGTTTTTAGGGTCGAAAATGTCGGGTACGCCCATTACAAACGTTTCGCGGTTAACTGTACAACTATATTTTTTTATATATGTATAAATATGGCATTTATCTAAATAGAAAATATTATTTGGGTGTAAGTTTTATAAATGTTTACATGTATAAATTATTTATTATGGTATTGCAAAGGAAAGGTTATCAGGAAGACCATTAAAATGTCTTTTTAATACGTAATGGCGTATCATAATATGGTGCTTTGACGAGAAAACAATAAGTTATTGTATTAGATTAAATATTTTAGAAGAGATATTTTTGCTTATTTATCTTTCAGTTATTCTACTGAATATGGAAAGTATCTCTTTGTATGGCACAACTATATTATTGGATAAGGACTTGGACATGTAAACAAAAAAGGACACGCTACACACGCTATTTTATTGAATTTAAATGATAAATGTTTGATTAAAGTTAAAATAGGTTGGCATTTTTTATATATTAAAGTTTTAATTTAGGAAATTAAGTGACAGAATATATCAATAATCATCAAAAAAAGTCTTGCGATTGATTGTTATCTAAAAACCTGTCGATACAATTGATCATTGGTTATGTGATAAATGTGTTCATGTAGAAAGTTTACTGTAATCAATCTAAATAGGAGAAATGTAACGAAAGAATAACTTGTTTTTTGGCCAAAGGACTGGCCATGTACAGTACTGTACAGTTTTCCGGGTTTTCTTCATTTAAATAAGAACTAGTTCCCCTCCTAAGAGGCACTCCTTGACAGATCGACCGTGGTATATTGTCTTATCTTATCAATCTAAGGAAGTATCTAAACTTACAGCAATAATTAATGATTTTTTTTAATTTTACTCTTAATTTTTGAAACATAATCAATGGTAAGTTCGAGGTTGAATAATAGAAATTGTATAAACTAACAGTAACCAGTCGATACGAAAAACAATATATAATATAACGACAAATATAGAAATAAATAATAAATTTTGTAAAAAAATATACAATATAAAATACAATAAATATTAATTGTATTGATATTTATTGTATTTTCTTTCGAATCTATTCTTACAGGTTAGTGTGAATTTATAACCATTATAATACAGTATATATTCAGGAAATGACGACATAAAGTGGCATTTATGGTTTTTTTTTCAAATTTTGTTCTTAATTTTTGAAGCATAATCAATGGTAATTTACCAATTTATCCTTATAAAAAACGAAATTCAATTCGAACTCGAACTCATGGAAGTAAACTGATGCCTCATCAATGAGCATACATCTAACGATAAGGCATCAATCTATGTATATTATTTAGATATTAATGTCAACTGTATGGGCATAGTCAATGGGTGTCTGCAGAAAGTTTTACAGGGGTTGGAACACTCGGAAACAATTACCTCAATAAATTTTTATTTAATTAT